TATATATATATGTATAAGAGCAGATGTTTGACTTGCACAAAGGTTTGTATTAAATTGAAAAAGAGAAAAAGTGGCACAAACATTTGACTCACTCTCTCCCCTAGGTACATGTATGATGTATCTGATGGCAGGTGTATAGTGTATCTGATGGCAAGATAAAGACAAAACGATCAGATTAGTGTATGCGAAGGAGGTTGTCAGAATGCCATCCACGTTGATGGACAGACTGTCAAGCAGTAGGCTACCACCAGTCCCAGCTAAGTAACTCGGGTTTGAAGGCACCAAAAGATTTATATACTCTGGCAATACAGTTTACTGGTCTGGTATAGATGATCTTCAAATTAATAATGTTTGCTGCATTTTAAAATACAGATCTACCTGTCAACTGCCTCAAGATAATACAAAAACCAAGTCGTGTCAGGCCTTTTAACTTACAAACTCTCTGTCCGTGAAGCTGTCTGGAAAATGTTAAGCTTCAACAAAGTATACAATGACTTTGGCTTGATCACATCCTTTGTTGAGGACACAGCTCCCAGACAATATGCTCAGACTCAGGGCCTATTCTTTATAAAAAAAGTTATTGCTTGGAAGAATTTTCAAGCCCTCTGCATCCCTGGAACTTTTTTGAAAATGAAGGCGCTTTTTATACGCTCCTATCGACACAATTTAGATAATTTAGGAAGTGGGTATCCGACCTTGTCTGTTAAGGTCAACTGGGGCTGAAAGGGATACAACATCCCAATCCCAGCCCAAAGACTATAGACTGAGATACTCGATAAAAATGTTCCCCACTCAAGAATAGAACTCAGGTCTTCTGCATGCAACAGCGAAGGGTCTAACTAACCGCAACACCACTGACATTGTACACTGGGTCTAATAAAAACATAGAGGCCAGGCAGAACCGGTGTGCCTCTCACCTGTGAACTACCTACACACCTAAAGTGAATCAAAGAGAAAGATATGTACATTTCTTTTCTGTAAAGCTTACAATGCACTCTGTGGAAAGGGTCTACTGCATCAAAAGATAATGTAGAAGATAACGGTGAAAAGGAAAGTTATTATTATTACATAGTCTGTAGAAAAGACATTTACTGTTTGAAGTTCTGTGAACAAACAAAAAAAAGATGGTTATGTGGCACAGGGGAGTCCACTTATAACGAGTCCTGAAATAATGAGAAGTCTGTTATAAAGACACTATTCTAAAACCCCGTTTTTTCCCTTCTTTATCTTTGTAAATAAAATACTGCTATAGCGCAATCAAACATGCGAGTCGGCTATAGTGGAATATTGCTGCTGCTGTGCACAGCGCATAGGCCAGTTATACACATTAAAACCTTGCCAGTTGAGAAACCTGTTGGTGATCTAGCGAAACCAAGGACCTTACAACTCCTTGAGCGAAACAAAAAATGGGAGAGCCAACAATGAAGGCCGGAGCGAATGAGTGGGGAGGGTGTGGTATGTGCAGACAAGCAGAACGCATCGCATGATATAGGCCATGCTAGTCTAGATTACCTAGGCCTACCACTGCCATGCCTCTCACTTCTCTGATGCGGGGATAGAGAGGTCACAATGCTGTGACGGATGGAGTTAATGTGTGACGTGGGCAAGCAGACGGAACGCATCACAGGGTGTAGTGGGGAACAACACAGCAGGTGAGTTAACCTAGAACCCTTTCTTTCTGACCGCCAAAGCGGTGCTGCCAACTTCGCAAGCGGTAGAGAAAGAAACCTTTTTCGATTTTTGATTAAGTAAGACCAAGAGGTCATGTTGAACAATATCATCATGAGGGGAGATAACAAAAAGAAATAAACAGAACACCAAACTCATAGATTAAGCCTACTGTATTATTTCCTTTGAATTTATTACAGGATCCCTTATAACGAGAATCCTGGTACAGTGGGTGTCGCATTCAACGAGGTCACATTCAATGAAAAGTTGGCTCCAACGAGGCAATCCTTACTCCCTGATTTTTTCCTCTATATCTGTTTGTAAATAAATGTACATCAGTTCCAACAAGGTTTCAAACAGACTGAAGTCACTTTCAACGAGGTCGCGACAACCAAATAAAAGCAATTAGCGGCCCCAAAAGCCAAGAATTTTTCTCCTTTCTCTCCATCTCACGTGAAGCACAAGGCCCATCCTCGATTCCTAACACATTGTATTGCTAATCTAGTGTGCCTCCTAATATTATGGGCCCCAAAGCCAAGAGGATGGGCGAAGGTTAGCCTATGGTAGGGATGGGAGGGGGTGAGTGGGAACGCGATGCGGGCTGTGTGAAACTGGATTAACTCTGGATGGGTAGGTCTAGATCGAAACCTTCATTATTTTTTTCAATTTTCTTTTCTTCCCCTGATCAGAAAATCCAAGCTCCCGCACTTACTTTATCATACTTTATGCAGATCTAGGCCTAGATGTGAGAGGGTATGTTTCCACACGAGAAGCATATTCCGGCAACACTAAAAATGCAGAAATGACTGTCAGAACACGTGCACACTGATGCTGTTTGAGATTTTAGTCATCAGGGGGAACAAGTTTTAATTACTGGTATTGGTACATCGTGTATAATAACTAATCTCCTTTCTTTTCTTTAGCCTTAGTCCCGTTCAACGAGAGGTCGGATCCAACGAGGACAACAAGCCGGTTCCGGCAACCTCGTTGAATGCGACACCCACTGTATAACGCACATTTCGCACCGATCCCCTCCCTCTCGTTATAACAGGACTCCACTGTATTGATTTTACCCCTTGAATTGATTTTGTCATCTAAAGATATGAATCAAAGTTCACTGTATAGAACTTTCCTTGAACTTACAAGATTTAGCCATGGGGCCAGTGAATGAACATCCCTAATCAAAGGACTATAAACAAATGCTGTCATTTAAACACTTTGAATGTTTAATAAAACATTGTTCCCAATCATAATTTACAAAAGTTCACATTCTCCAAATCTCCTTCAAGTGTTATTTCATAATAATCACATTTTTTAAGGTGGAAAACAAGAACACGTTTGTGGGAGTGCAGAACTAGGAGCACATGTTCAGAAAAAAAAGTAAGAAGACTTTGACAGGTGAATCCATTGACTCTCATAGTATGAGGGCTATCCCGAAATTAAGGTGAAAATAATATAACTTCGAATTTTAAAGCGCCCCCCCTCTCCTTCCCCCCTCCCAAACAGAATTACACACACAGAATACTTGACACTGAAACAAAATTTGAACACTTGCAGAGAAAAGACCATGGAAAAAAAAAAACGTTTGTAAAGTGGACTTCTTTATTTCTGTAAACTAGTCAGTTATATTCTTTGTCAGGAGGCAGCTTTTCCTCGATGTTCTCGCAGACACTTTGTGGTACAGAACTGATAGTCCGAGTACTCAAAGGGTATTTTCCCTGTGATGTCTGCTCCACATTGATAACATCGACTGAAACAGAAAAACAAAAGCACATTAGATTCCCATTAAAAACAAACAACAACAAAAAATTCAATTTTTAAGATTCAGGGACAAGATAAAGATGCCAAAAGAATAAAACATAGAGCAGAGACACTAAAAAATTGGTCACTCCTAAAAATGACAGTATCCATTAAATCATTAGTACTCAACTCTCCACAGCCCTATCAATGCATTAAGCACTAGAAGCCTTTAATTTCTTAGATCAGACAACTATTAACTTAACTGAACCAACATCTACTAGTCACCATCAACCAAAAAGAAGTCAATGAAACACTGTACAGAAAAGAAACATTCATGTACTTAACTGGACGCAAGACCTCTGTTACCACTGTGTATTGCCTTATCTTGTGAATTGTTTGTTGGTTTTATTGGGAAAAGGGTGGGGGTGGGGGGGGGGGGGGGTTCAATGGCATCAAAAGCACACATGTGAGACAACCAACCATTAAATGAACACACCATAAAAACCAAAAAAACAAAGCCCCTTCTGATCCCTATTTCTGAAATCAAAAGACTTGTATTAAACAAAAAATGTCACATCATAGAAATTGTATGTCGACATATATTATGGTCTTCTTGACGTGGCCAGTCAAAGTTGGAGGGAGGCACCAATGTTAAATCAATTTTAAAATTAGGCAAGACGAATGGAAAGCAATACCGATAGTGCCACCTGCAACAAGAGTTACCTCAACACAGGTCTGTCTTTGCCCTGTTCATTGCGCTGATGTAAGATCCTCCGTTCTGCAGCTAGGGCCCTCTAGAAAACAGAAAGAAATCACACATGTCAATGGTCAACATGCAAACAAAATTAAACAGATCCATTAAATCTACCACCAGACTAGCATAATATTCAATCAGTTACATTTGAAACCTGTTTGGTCTCCATGCCCAACATGCTATTATTTGTAAAAAAATTGAGTTCTTCCACTTTTCTATTGTCCATAGAACATGAAGTAAAAATCTGGAAAAGATGGTTGAAACGTTGAACTTTTATTTTCACAGAAAAATTAATAAAATGAGAGCATACTTAAGTTAAAAATTATTTTTTTAAACTCAGTTTTCAAGAAATGAACACAGAAGTTTGGACAGTACTTTGATAGCACAAAACCATCTTTCCCCAAAAACATTGAAAACATTTGAAAAATAATTAACTTGGGCCAAGCTTCACTGTCTAATGGGGAAAATTGGCTAAGGAGGTGCATTTGAGGCAAACTGGGTCATGCTTGATATTGACTCTTGTAAGCTGATTTTCCAGAGTTAACCAAAAGTATGTGTTATTTTAACAGGTAGGCTATTTGGGGAAGAAAAAAAAGGCACATAAAAAAGTAGTCTATCCTACAGATAGTGAAATCAGCCGAGTGTGGAAATCTTTTTATTTGCAAGTAGGCCTACTAATTTCGCAATGTATGTGTTTTAAATATAAAGAATGTACACATGTAAGAAAAAATTCTGAACCGCAAAATCTGTTTGCTAGAAGCGTGTTTGGCAATGTGTTTGTGTTTGCTATGTGCACGCTAGACAGTATCAATTTAATACTATATACATTACACAATGATATTAAATCACAATATGAAAATTAGTTCAACAGAGCTTAGAGACAAAATGGCGGTGCGTAAAGAAGAGATGATAGAGAGAAAGAAGACAAAGACAAGACAATGTTCTCATCAAAACATCAAATAGTTAAGTCAAGAATCTGATCTGATAAAAGCTAATAATTATATTATATTGCCATTATTTGCTCAACAAGAAAAAAACATTTGTCAATAGATTTTCAAACCACAAAACCGGTCTTGCAGGCCAAATTTCAGGAATTAATGTTGATAATTCACACACAGAGACATGGTCATTTGCCAGGGATGTTGTAGCTCTTTACTCAATGGTTTTCCATCCTACTACTCCATTTAACAACAAAAACAAATAACAAAGCATAGAACCAATAAATCATAGCTCCACATTATAAAGACAATTATCATTTTTTTAAAAATAGGACTTTCTCATTAAATGGTAGGACACTACATGCGAAAAACAAAAAAGGAAAGGAGGAGAGTTGGTTGGGAGGAATGATGAAATGGCTTGAAACTCCTTTGAGTTAACCAAATCCATTGAATTAAAAAAAAATTGTGTTAAGGATATAATAAGGCAAACAATAAAGATAGGAAAAATGGGTAGGAAAAATGAGGATTGAAATCCTTTCGTGCTAACAGGAATTTCATTTTAAACAGCGTCCTGTTGAAAAAAGTCTGTGTATATAGAACATCTCCAAAGAAGTCTACCCACAAAGTTGCTACAGATTTGGACTTGACAATAGACCTTATGCCTCTGCCAAGGCTGCTCTTATTCATTATTTTCCTTCCACACATGCATAAATTAGCAAACATCAAAAGACATCTTTGCTGGTGGTTTAGTAATTTTCTACAAGAGAAAGAGCAAAAAAGATCAAACTGATGAAGCAAAACAGATTACCTTTTCCCTGTCTGACAATGCCAGATATCGCTCTTTCTCTTGATTTTCAGCTCTCGTCTGAGCTTCAACAGCTTTTTTCTCCTACAATTTATAACAATAAAAACAATCAGTATGACCTCAAGGAACGAACAAACAAACTGACAGAAATTATATTCTATGGAATAGGTAATCACAACACAAGATGATGAAATCTATCACAGAGGTAAGATATGAAAATGTTAAACCACCTAAAAGTGCTCCTCTTTATCAAAAAGAGCAAAGAATGTTTTGGCTGTAAAGAGAGGCCACATAAAGTAAAAATAGAAGCCTATGAAAAAGGTTCAAAACTGATATTCTTTTCATTGAAATATAAAATTGTGACAATAAAGTATGAAGGTATATGTACTGCTTACAATATAATAATATTATGCATTGATAAAATGGTTGATACATTTATTTGCTCATATTTTCTTTTCTTCCCTCTTTTTAGTTTTTTTTTCTTCTTTTTTTTGGGGGGAGGGGGTTGCCACAAGACAATATTTTTGGAAGGGTACAAAAGATTCAATAGTCATTTCCCTGCCATATTATGGAACTGAACACAAGACATTACATCATGAGATACCTTGTTTCTTTCAGCAGCTGCTTTTTTCTTCTGTTTTCTCTTCTCTGCCATTTTGATTTTTTTCTCATTTTCCATCTCTGGAGTTAATGGACTAGGAACCTGCACAGACAAAAATAAACAATTTATGACAAAACCTGTCTCGTAGATATTGACAATTTAACAAGAGCTGAAATCCTATTATAAAAACTGCAACGTTTTAAGACAATCAAAACAATGTCAATTTTTAAAAGAGGATAAAAAAATTAATTTGTCCACCACCAAGTAAAACATTTTTGCCCAAATTTTATTTTAACACAAAACTAACAGAGCCATTATATTTTCAGTACAGACTTTGCATGGGTCTGCTTTCTCCAGTAATATTCAATTAAGGAGAAAAATACACAAACCAAATGAAGACAAATAGGACGTCCGAGGAACGGTGGAGAAACACCCGCTGAGACCAATAAAACAATGAGGCCAGACAACATCCAAGAAAAAAAAAACACAACAAAAAAACATATAAATGAACAGTTGGAATTTGAGAACCACCCACATATGGATTTGGATCCATAACACACAAAACGGTATATTACATAAAAAAACAAATGAAAAGAAATTTAGTAGTAGATACTGAAATGAGGAAGATAAAAGCTAACAAGTACTGGAAATGAAGAACATAAAAAAAAAAAAAAAGCAAAAAAACCAAACAAACAGAAAAAAAAGACTTGCCTGAGCTTTTGCGTAGTCATATCTTGTAGGGAAGGCAGCCATGAACCTTCTGAAAGCATTTCTTACTTCTGTCTCACCCACGTTGTATGGCAGTTTACCAGAGCCATCCCTGAAGAATTTGCACAAGAAAAAAATGATGAACTATAACTATAAATTATTAAATATATGTTCTAAAATGTGAAATTTTCTCATTGGGTATGTACATGTCCCCTTGCATTTCAAAATTCAGTTTTGGTTGTTTTCAATTGTGCAAATGCACAACAATACTATGAAAATATATATTAAGTACGAAATTAATTACATTTTTTACTTTATGGCTTCTACAACATCTGAAAAGATCCTGGAAGAAGGCATGGGTAACAAGGGACTGAAAAAGAAATAAAAGGAATAAAAATCAAATACTCACTACCAGTTTGTTAATATAGTTAAAAGAAAGGCAAGGAAAGAAGTCAAAGTGTTTATTTACAGTCTCGTGTCCTCTTGACAGAAAGCACCCATGACTGCACAATAATTCCTTTGGCCTGTGAAGTCACCATTTCCATTCACATAGAACATTCAGCATGGCCAAGTGACAGGGGGCATTCTGTCTATTTATTAATTCTATCTCTAGAAAAAAATCGCAGGGTGATAAGAAAGGAGCACAATCTCATGGGGACCAATGAACAATCCGTATTTGATGTACCGGTACTACAAAATTATCAACAGTGTAAACAAAACTAATACTGGCAATAAATTTTGATGGAAAACCCTCAAACAAAAAGTAGAAACAAGATGAATATCAACACCTCCCATCATTTTAGAAATGATCTACTGATGGCATGTGAATTAATTGTATTATCAAGCATGCCAAAGGTACCTCTGAACACAAAGAGCAGATACACAAACGAGCACAATTAGCCTCATGAATACTACTCACTTGATTGTTGGGTCTGCCCCGGAAGTCAAAAGGGTCGTAATGATTTCTGCATGACCTTCTCTAGCAGCCAGGTGAAGGAATGTCATCTTACTGTCACCAACTGGGCTGTTCAACATGTCTGTTGTGATATCAGAATTTTGAGTGGCATCAAAACTGGACCCGTCATCTCTTGGTGATGTGGCATCTTTATCAGGGTGCAAACTTGTTTCTCCATCAACATTCTCAACATTCTTACTATCTTCAACTGAAGCGATGGATGTACTATTTGAACTCTGCAGACCTTGTGACAAAATGGTAGAGGAAGTATCCGAGAGGCTTTGTTGCTCAAAAGTCACACATGACTCAGGAGATGAGTCTGTCAGCTTTTCTTTAAGAGTTTGAGAGTCCTTCATGGCAGTCAATGCGGATAGAAGAGCGTCAACATCCCCTGTCTTGCAGGCTGTGAAAAGTCTGTTTCTCCATTTCATTCTATCCTCATCTGTAAAATCAAACAATAATTGACAAAAAGTACTCTCAGCTACGTATTGCTAACAGAGCATTGACCAGAAATAGTCAGATTATTGCATTAAATTACTAGTCAGCTGGAACGTATAGAACATCAACTCTTTCATAGTATCTTAGTCACATATGAGCTAAAATACTAAAAACTTGAAACTTGATTAATTCCTGTTTCTTGTACAAATAACAATGAACAAAGATTTCCAAGTTAAAGGCTTATAAAACAAATCTCTGCTCACAAACTGGAACAATTTTCTAAAATTTCTTGATTCAGATATCATCTGGTCCAAACACAATCTAAACATGACTTGTTTATCTGAAGGCAAAATGATATCGCTATTCGTACACATTGTTAACAGATATTTCTTTAAAAAAAATATAAATTACATATGGGCAAAATATTTCCCTTTTTATTGATTTATTCACATTTCAAATTACCCTATTACTCATTACATGTAATAGAGAGGGCAATTGAGGCATCAGCTTACCTAACACTGCAGACTCAGCTTCAGCATTGTTGTCTTTTGTCACACCCTTTTTCTTTTTGCCACGCTTTTTCTTGGATGTGCATTCAAACTGGCGAAGGTGTGAGAAGTCAACAGTTTGCATATGCTCAACCAGTTGAGCATCTGTCACAATATCTGGATCAGCATCGCTTGAAGAACCTATTATACAAAAAGTCATAAATGCAAATATAATGTTTAAGAAAGTCTTTTTTTTCTTAATAACTAAACGCTATGTGTGACTTTCATCGGCTCTTAGATGAACCTCTTTATGCTATCTTAGATTTTAAAAGAGTAAATAATATTGTATACTGGGGAATTAAAAAAATAGAACTACGACGCCCATTTGCCTCATAATTGTTTTGCTTTTAATATGAACAATTAATAATTGAGAAGAACCAAACCTTCAAAGAGTTTCTCAGTTAGGCCTAAAACATGGTAAATTTACCTTACATAAATTGAATTTTGTATGATCATGTTTAACTTTGACTTGATAAAAGTTAAATAAATCGGACATGCAATACTGGCAATGCATTATTTAATGAAGTTATTCGGCCTACAGCAGCAGGTTGTGTGGAATTCGAATCCCCACAGGGAAGAAAAATCAACGGCCTCAACCTAAATAATATGGCAGGACAAAAAATCACTGCATTCATGGGAAATCTAATATTAGTAGCCATAAACTTCAATATGAAGCAAACTTTGTGAATAACAAAAAATACCACTGCTGATTACTTATGTCACAATAATAGAAATGCCATGTCCATGATATTGCCGACAAAGCATACAAACTTATTTTGATGTATCAGTCCAAAATCAGGCTGACAGTTTGAATTAATGTAGACCTATACACAGAAGCTATTTCTAACCTTCTTCAGGCTCCACAGCATGTTGACTAGAGGATAAAGACTCTTGTCTGTCAGCTTTCTCAGGCTCCGGCTTTGGAGCTTTTGCTTTAGGCTTTGGTTCCCTCGGCTCTCTCACTTCCAGCTGACCTGACTCCGCAGAGTAAAAGCGTGGGGGTGACATGGGAACAATGCCTCCAAGGTCAGCATCTTGACCTGATATAAGAAACAACAGAGTTTATAATATATTTTAAAACTCAACATTACCTTTATTTTTAAAGGAAAATCAGGAGAAACTTTTAGGGTCATTTCTTCCTTTTCTATCATTTAATGCCAGGAAGACCTCTTGGCAACCCATTAATGTACAAAGAAAATAAGAAAACCTTTCTTTAATTGGAAGAAATAAAACAGAAAAACTTCCATAAAGTTTCATCACAAAAATTATGTCTTCTTTGGATAAATGGTAGCATTGATAAAGTAATTAATGACTTCTTTCTTCAAACACATTAAAAATTCAGTTTTAAAAACAAGTGTCTAGGGCTCTATGAAAATCCATCAGAACATAATAATAATAATAATAATAATAATAATAATAATATAATAATAATAATAAATGGCATTTGTATAGCCTATATCCCTGCTCAACAGCAAGCTCTATGCGCTTTACACGATATTATCACCCCAGCAGACCATAAAACACTCAGAAACATTCTAAGCTTCCTTGGAAGTATGCAGTGCAAGCAGCTGATTAAATGCTCAAACACTAACAAACTGGCAAGATCTTTTGCTGTCAATAGCTGGGTACCCATTCCTACCCGAGTGAAGTGAGGAAAATTCGTGTACAGTGCCTTTCCCAAGGACAAAACATTAGGGCCCTTACGGTTGCCAGTCCAAGAGCCTAATCGACGCCACATGAAAATGAGAAATTTGAAATTTTTGTATGTTTGAAAAACTTCATCGTTCTTTGACTTTTAGTACTTTAGGTGCAATTGGAAGTTTTTGTGAAAAGTTAAAGCATTTCAAAGGGCGCAAGGGTGCAAAGGATAAGTTTTGTAAAATGTCACTGAAAATTTTCTATGATAAGGCAACAAAAAGAGTGAAAATATTTAGAAGAGTATTCTTGCAAAATCCTCACAATTTTAGACAAGGTTTATTTTTTCATATTTCATAGCATTTCATTAGTGATTTTAAAAAATACAGCTCAATGTCTATTTCAAACAATATCTCAAAATTAATTGTTTGCACTTTTCAAAGCGTTCTCGCAAAGCTTTCACAAAAGTCAGTCAAAGCCAATAATAAAACTATGACAAAATGCAAGCTCACCATAACATTCAACTGAAGCCAGCATCTGATGAACTCGCTTTGCTTCACTGAAAGTAGGTCTTCGAGTGGCGAAGGGAATAATTCTGATACGCTGATCTTCCTTTTTCAGAATTGGATTCTTGCCCCCATAAAACATTGCCCTGTTATTTGTGGGGATTCTCACAAAGATCAAATGGCAACTTGCCAAATGCTCAGACCAGGAACTCATGAGTTCTTGAATTTCCTGGGGAAAAAATGTTTAGTTCATATCATAAAAAGTAAGTTGCACCAAGATTTGTTATGATAACCAAATGACAACTTTAATTTCATATAAATTAAAAGAGGACAGCTACACTCTTGTCTATGTTCTGTACTTCAGATATTTTAAGACATTGTAATAGCTAGTTACATCTGAAAGCATATAAACGCTATATATTTTTGCTGGATGAAAGGTACATTAGTTTGTGTGGTTAGCTTGTCCTTACTATTTGATTTAAGGTAGGGAAAAAACTTTGTAGGTTAAAGAGATAGGTTAATCAACGTGGCTGAGGCAACCAAAGTAGTTGCAGTCTCACTTACTGACAATTCATTGATGTGGCAGCATTAAATCTTGTCTACAGAGTAAGTTTTTGACAATAACTTTTTAAAAAGTATTAACATGTCTTTCCTCTATCTAAGTAATAAGAACTACCAGGTGTGGAATGAATATTAGTAGGTGTAAATTTGTTGGGTTTATTATGCATTTGCCTGTGAACAATGTTTGCTATTGAGGCTAGCAAAAGAACACTACTTATGATCCTCTGTGCACATTGGTCACATAGAAGGAATTTAATGCTGAACTGTGCATACAATTTCCGACCTCTTTCGGGTAGCAATTACATCATAAGGGTTCACTCTTTGGTTAAAGGGTCATAAAACATAGAGAATTACACTTCAGCCCTACAGCTGCAATATTTATACAGCAGTCACAAGCAAAGTATTGCCACAAAGCTGTTGCTTCACAAACCTGGGATAAGGCTGCCTCATTGTAGCGCCTCAGTCTCGCTCCAGCACTCTTTGGTGCATTCCCTTGTTTGTCCCTGCTTGACTGTGCAGTCCCTCTCTTTGCTCGGACTGTGTAGCGATGGAATGTTTTGTGTTCTATGACTTGTTTCCTGTGATGACATTATGACAAGGATTAAATTAAACAAATGGTGATAAAGACATTTTTGAAAAATAGCTGTACTAACAATAGCTAACTATGAAAGCATTTCATAATTCTGTGTTGAAAAGAAATAGGGACTTTAAATATTGAATCAAATTTTAAAATAGGAAGCCTAATACTAATACAACCATTATCATAGCTGCTTCAAACGATCACTCTGTAAATTGCTACGATTGGAGAGAAGATGATATATATACAAATATGATAGTAGGAAAATACAACATTTACAGTTACATGTCAGAGAAAAAAAAGAGCAAATTTTAAGATAATGAAAAAGAACAAGGAAAATTTGAGATAAACTAATAAATGATTCACTTTTTAACATTTTCTGTTACAAATTCTCAATGAAATTTAACATTTTCGCTATCAGGGGGTGTGCAATCCTACTGTCAGCACTAATTTTCAGTTAAGTTTGCAAGCCAGGATAGCAGTCTCATCAGTCTCAATGTCAGTGGACTTGTTGTCTGGTTCTGGCCCACTCAGGTCTTTAATAGTGTCGCCCGCTTCATCCCCATACTCCCCCGATATCCTCATAATTTCGACTTAGCAAAACTAAGTTGAAAAGTGAAATTTGTTTTGTTTTTTTCAGTCATTTTGGAGTTCACATTTTTTTAAAGCGCGCTTATGAAAGTCTGCAAGACAAGACCAGTGTTTATCGATCACGTGAAAGCTATGCAGTAATGTAGTTTCCTGAATATGAATCCACTCTGTGTTTGAAGCTAAATTTCTGTACCAAAGAATTAAAGCCAGATGATTCATGGGACATATATGTAAAATCCTAAAAAGACAACCTGAAATTTTGCCAACCTCCATGACACTCATGGTAAGGCACAAAGCTAAAAGTTACCTTTTTTGTGAGGCACCATGTGTGTCATAAGGCAACAAAGGGGTTAAAGTTCAAATCTTCCATTACTTGCAGGTCATAGTCTATAAAAAAAATGTATTAATAATCTTTGACACATATGACATCCTCACAAGCAGAGATTTCACTGCAATTCTTTAATCTGTTGAAAAACTTTTCACAACAGATATATTCCCAAAAAAAGAAAGGGATCTCATCATCTACTTTATTTGAATGCTAGCACATTTAAATTCTTCTTCGTAACAAATTATACACTTTTGATTGTTTTGGTACTGTACAAGTAACTATGACAACATAGACATTTACCCGTGAAAAACAGCTCCTGCAAAATGTCCAGCTGAGACCATTAGTATGATCCATTTTGTCTGCTTTGGAAGTTTAGTCACTGTTTTCACTAGCTCTGTTGGGTCTGTCACAGGATCCTTTGGCCAAATTTTTGTCAAAAGGAATAAAAGAGTATGTATGAAAGGGGAAAAAAGGTGTTAAATAATTTTAAAGTTTTGAAAAATTGTGCTGCTGCACAACCATTCATCAGAAGTAGTTCATTATATGTATTGAAAATAAAATTAACCGATTTAAAAGCAAAAGCGTGTTATTCAAGAGAGAAGAATATCTACTATCAATCTGTGCACAGGTGCTGGAAGATAATTTCGTACAAATGCCATGTCTTTACATGAACTTATCGAAATCTTTAGCTGTGGAATGTACCTAAACAACTACATTTATATGTATCTAAACGCTATCAATATTTCAAACAAATTTGTTAAGTACAAATATATTTGTTCCAACAAATCATTTTACAACACAGTAAATTTGGACATTCATTTATCACTAGTGTTGCAAAGTGCTGGTCAATTACAAGTGTGTCTTTGGAACAGCCAGTATTATTGTCTCCATGTTCTACACTTGATGGCTTTCACTTAGAGATATATTATAGTGTTTATTCTGTTAAAAAGTGAATGCATCAAATGGGCTAACAACAAACCTTTTTGTGGTGAAGCAAGCAACGATAAACAGAGATCCGCTCCCCAAGTGCATTCTTGAAGAAAATTTTATGGAACTTTCTTTCATTTACTATGGGGCTAGATGTGAGGTCCATTCCTGAGTCTTGATGGGGAATAACATTAGTCGTTTCCCTTAAAACAGCATCTGCGTCATCATCATCCTCATCAGACCCCGAAATACTGGACACATCTCCTGCAGGGGATACAGAAATGCCTATACTAAGCCAGCATATTCACTACAACTAAAGCAACATTTAATTTGTTCTTTCATAGCAATATGTTTTCAATAACAAAGTAATTATATTCTTAAATCATGAGCCATGCACAAAATTCTGTTACGTTTTGGCATGACCACGTAAAGTAATATTTAGTAAGTGCTAATAGTTACTTGAGACAACAGAAACTATCAAAACACAATAATGCCATACATCAAATTGAGGGGAAAGTACAGAATAATTCATGCACAGGACATCTTTAGCATTCTCTAGAAAAAAAAAAATATCCAACTGATAGTTCCAACATCCATTAATGAAGACACAAAGGGCCAACTGAAGTGACATTTTCTTGTACTTAGGCCAAAATGATAGTTACTAGCCAGAGACATTTCTACTCAGTCTAAACTTCCTCTCACTTTCCTTATCAGAAATTCCATATATTTATTCTTCTTCCTTGAAAATGCCTTTGAATAATTCAATTATTAATTAATTAGTTATTACACTTAGGACAAAATCAATTGTTAGCAGACATGCTCTCTTATCTCTGAGCATTTCCCTCAACCCGCATGACAACTGACACAAAAATAACACTATAAGAAAAAAAAAACCCCACCACAAAGAAGAATCTCAAAGTCCCATATTCCATGCAAATTTCATTGGAAATTGAAAGTGAAGTGTAAGGAAAATGCAGATCACAATTTCATGTGAATGAAAAAAATTAAAAATTATGAACGTCACAGCAAAAACATATTCATAACTCTGACCGACAGAAGAACTGTTAATTTGTGAGACGTGCTGACAAAATGAGTTACTTCTCGCAATTCACAATCGATATGTTGCCCAAAAATCAACAAAAGTGTCAAATTTGTAGATTTACTAACAATACTAACATTGGCGTATTCATTAAAAATAGCGTGTTTTTTTGTTATTTCATGCTTGTAAAAACTTCACCTATAGGCGTGATATGTTTATTTCCATAGGGCTCGAATCCAAGAAGTAACTCATTTTGTTATCAGCACGCTTCACATTTGTAAAACCACAGCACAGCTAATGGGCACTTCCATCACCTACTTAGATATGAAGATCCAATACGTAGGCAAATGTTCAACTTACTTGAGTCAACATCGATATAAAGATCTAGTCCAATCTGCTTACTATACTTTATGAAATCCAATGTAAATTTTTCAAAGATGACTAGATAAAAATGACTCACAATACTCATATCTCACCTACGCTTTACCAAGTTCATTTTCTTTTCTTCATCTTGTTGTAAAGATGGATAGCCATACTTATGAAAAGTTCTATACTGCTTAATCATTCTCTGAAATTAAATTACAAGGACAGTGACAGAACTACCTTATAATTATCAGTGCTTCCATCAGCTGAAGCTCAAAAGTAAGAAAAATTCTGAAAGGGGTCTGGGGGCCCCAGCAGGGTCCAGGGGGCAAAGCCCCCGAAGAAATTAAAATTTAGTGCTTTCAGAGGGTTGAAAATGGCATTTGGGAGCCTGTTTGAAGAGATTGCCTACAACCCATAACATTTATTTTTTTCACCAACATTTTGTCTTGTTTGATTTCTTCACCTACATATCTTTCCATTGCTGGCAATGTTTAAAAGCAGGTTCCACTTTCATTGCTATTATAATTCAATTAATTTGTCGTCGCACCGTTGACAGAAGGCAAACCTGGGAATAATGAATAGATATGTACCTTCACAATACAGTTGCCTAGCGTATACCCTAATTTTTCCTCAATTTTCACGTCTGAATGTCGCCTGTCACAACCTCGGAACACCACTTCAAATTATTCTTGATTTTAGTAGTCTCAGCATATATTTCTTCAGCCCTTATACATGTATCGCGTTCATGTGAAGTAGAATCTTCGCATTGATAATTTCTCTAGATCTAGACGTACTTGCAAAAAAAGTTACTTTCTGACAGTAATTTTCTGTCTGAGGTCAGAAGTCAATTTAATTGATCAAAGCGCAGATTTTCCAGCCGCGGCAACAATCCGAAGATAGACAGAAAGATGAGTGAACGACAGAAAGGAGGAAATTGGCACAAAAAGTTCACCAGATTTTTATCCATCTGCAGGTAAACAATGTACTGCCGACCAACCCGCAATGAAAGCATGGGGCATAGCAGAATAATGGCCGATTGCAGGAAATGCGCAATCTGGCAGGTTTCTATAACATTAACTTGTTGCCGAGAGAATTACTGTAAATATCCGTAACTTATACAAGATGATAAGAAGGCGAGTACAAATTTTTGCTGCAGAATTTCGGCAGTCATACTCTGTCGAAGTTTTTTACGGAGGGAGTTGATAATTATGGAGGGAGTTGATAATGATGGAAGAACAAGTACGGAACTGGCAGAAAGTACGGATTTCCGTAAAAATACGGAAAAGTGGAAGCACTGAATTATAATAGAAAATCTTTTCTATAGCTAAATCTTGCTTTAAAAGAGAGGGAAGAATGAAAAGGCTACTTACCCGCAATTTCCTCAAACGTGTCTTCTGTCACAAATGGTTGTCCTGTAAGTCTTCTGTGCAAATTATACCTGTGCCAGTCGCTTTTGTAATGACTCAGCTGTGAAAAAAAAACCCAAAAATTGACAATGGTTAGAGAGTGGAAATATAAAAATACTCCCCCCCTCCCCCTCTGTTTTCCTTTGTTGTTTGTTTGTTTTTGTAAAGTGTTTTACGGCGCTCGCAACTGCATAAGGTCATATGAGCACGCGGGACACATCTAATATTTTCAGTAGGTAGGAAATTTTAAATTTTGCCCAGGTGGCGGCCGAAGCCTACTCTAATCGATTTTAGACCACCAAGGGATCTTTAACGTGCGCAAACTTGCACACGGGCCCTCTGAGATTTTTTTGCCCTTGTCCGAGAAAGCTAGGCGTAGATCTTTCCTACCAGAAGATCAGGGGTGTGGCTGAAAGACTGCAGTAAGAAGAAGCGAAGGAGTAGCAGTAGAAAGGCTGCAGAAAGAATCAGGAGCTCAGAGAAAGGGGCAAAGGAGGTGAAGGGGTGGGGGCAGAAGGAGGAGACGAAAGTAGACGACAAAACATTGCTAGAGAGCAGGAAATGAGGTGAAAGGAGACAAATTTAGAGAAGAAAATTTTTCGGTCGCTACCCTGATTTGAACCCAGGACCTTTTGAATGAGAGGCCAACACCTTAACCTCTAGGCCACGAGAGCCCCCCTGTTTTCCTTTGAGAACCACATTGTTATAATGAGGTAAATAGAAACAGCCAGTAAAAACATGAGTTGTGAAAGAAATTATCCCGCATCAGCACATTATAAGATCTGTCTTCAATACTGCGTGCTTTTGGATCATCAGTATGTCAAAGAGGCATGTAACTTCACAAATTGAAGAGAAATGCTTTCAAATGAAAAAAATAATAAGGGAACAATTCAATCAGGCAGAAAGTAATGTAAAAAAGACAAAGGAATTAATAGTAGATTTTAGAGTAAAAAAAGACCAACTACAACCACTATTTATCAAAGATGAGAAGGTGAAGGTGGTAAGCTCTTACAAATATCTTATAATATCTTGGAATAACAACTGATAACAACTGATAACAAGCTTGACTGGCATCCCCATGCTGCTCTTGTGCATAAAAAAATAAATCAAAGAATGTTCCTTTTAAGGAAATTAAGTTTTCGTGTCGATAATAAGATTATGTCCCTTTTACACCATTCAAAGATTGAAAGCGTGCTATTATTTTGTATTTGCTGATGGGCTAGGAATTGGAGGGTGAAAGATAAAGAAAAATTCGACGGAACCATTAAGAAAGCCAGCAAGATCTCAGGATATGATTTTTACTAGAATTGATGAAATGCATTTATTATAACACCACAAGTATAAAAAAAGATAAAAAGCATTATAAACGGCCCATCACACACCCTTTCCATGCAAATTGTTGTAAGATCATGCAGCGGCAGATATGTACCTCTAAAAACAAAGAAAGAAAGGTATAAATGAAATTTTTTACCATCTAGCATTATAAAGCTATTGTCAGAATAAACATCAATGTGCATTGCTCTTTTGAGTATCTATATAACCCTAAAGGTCTTGTAATTAAATTCCTGCATGAGGTTGAATTATGCATCTGAGGTGATATACATATGTACATTTTGTCAGCTTTACTTCTCTTTTCATATTGAATTTAAATGAGAGTAATATATAATTTTAATTTGTATGTATACCTGCATGTGTTTTTATGGTCCTGTGCAGCCCCAAAAAATTTTCCTCTCGGATAATAAAGTATTATCTTCAGTGGTATGCTTATAAAAAGTGCTCTGTTCTTAATTTTCTTCGGAACACCCACCTGCAAATGGATACAAATTGTTTTGTTTTTGTTGTTTTTTTGGTAAGTGTTTTACGGCGCTCGCAACTGCGAAAGGTCATATGAGCGTGCGGGACACATTAAACTTTTTCAGTTGGTAGGACATTTGGAATTTTGCGCGGGTGGCGGCCTACTCTTATTGATTTTGGACCACCAAGGAATCTTTAAACTGCGCAACTGGCACACGGGCCCACCAAGATTTTTTGCCCTTCTCAGAGAAGGCTAGATGTAGATCTTTCCTACCAGAAGATCAGGGGTATAGCTGAAAGACAGCAGTAAGAAGGAGCCAAGGAGTAGCAGCAGAAAGGCTGCAGAAAGAGTCATGAGCCCAGAGGAGGGGGCAAGGAGGTGAGGGGCTGGAAAGGGGGTGAAAGGAGACGATTTTAGAGAAGAAAATTTTTCAGTCGCTTCCCGGATTCGAAGCTGGGATCTTTGAATGAGAGGTCAACACCTTAACCTCTAGGCCACGAGAGCCCCCGTACAAATTGGTAAAGATTTACAAGGCACATTCATGTGAATAATAACAAAAGCTATATGATAAAATAATAAGTTGAAGGGACTGAGGGATGCCCAAATTATTAAAGTAAAATTATGTAAGTTATAAGAGTCTTTCTATGGGGAGGGCGAAAGACTATAAGATATCTTTTAAGCTAAAAATATAAAGGAGATCAATACATCACCAAAAGTCATAGTGACCACGATCAATTATTTTTGCATCATCTCTCAACTTTTGTCAAACTTTGCACATTGAACAAAACTCCCCTAAACAGCACACTAAACGCTTCATAAAATGTGAAACATCTTAAAATCCTTGGCAAAATTACAATAATTCAACACCCCAGCATCAATAATTCTTCTACAAATTCCTACAATGAAGATGATTTTGTCCTCACTTGATCTTCTCTATCTGTGAAGGAGACCTTACAGCAGTTGCAAGACATCACATCTGGAACCACCAATTTCTCTGGAAGGAAGGGCACCTGGTCCCCACCTGATGAAACATAGAAACAAGAAGAATAACATTAACTGGAAAAAGTAAAGGAACCATACCCAAAATTAGCAGGTAAAAAAGAAAATGCAACTAGTTCCTCAGGAACAAATTAAATGATTAGATTGTGAAACTAATAGTATCTATTTTATTCTCTGCAATACTGTCGGCATAGTACATGAGAACAATGAAGATGTATTCAATATCAATTCAATATTTGCAACAACTGCAATGTTGAAAATACATTACCTGTAACAGGCTCTCCAGGATGCTCATTCCTCTCTCCTTGGCCAGAGTTGCATGACGCTATAGTTAGACCCTGCAGTTTTTCCTCTATGGCTGCATCATGTAACAAACATGCTGAATAGTGAGCAGTCAAACTGCGGGTTCCCCTTTTAGGTGAAGACTTTGAACCTTCCATTTCACTCAGATTACATTCATCTGCCAAATAAAAATACCAGTGACAACTTTTTAAAAAATGAACAAAGTTTGAAGGAACAGATAATAAATTATGCTAATAACCCTTGTCAGTTATCATACTATTTAGAGAATCACAAAACAATTCTTATTTTCACATCCCTTACTGACTTAGGAATACCTGTATAGTATGATTTCTGAGTAGCAGGTTTCCTTTCTCCATTCTTATCCTCCATTAAGAGAGAAGTGCATGGAAGAAAACTAATGTTACTGACTATATTATAATAAACAGTATTGCAACTGAGTAGGAAAATACAGAGACACAGGCAGTTAATGCTACTTTCTAACCTTTTCTTTTTTATACTTTTGACGTAATATCTCTATTTTGAAATCCTTTAACCTAAATTGACCTTTGTCTTACCTTAAACTTTTATTTTTTTTCACTTCTAACTCTCTTTCTCCCTTTCACTGCCTTTTTTCCTTTCTTCACTCCTCTAAATGAGTTTCCGTCTTATTTCTCTTTTCCTGTTCGCTTTGTTCTCAAGTTCTTTTACCGTATTTTGTACCCAATATAGATAAGAAGGCAGATGGATGGATTGTGCATGTGCATTGTTTGATTTCAAAGCAAAAGAGTGTTGCTAGCTGTGCTTTATGATTTTTTAAATTGCGTTTGCGTCGGATCAAGATCACGTGACTATGTTAACCAATACTGGTCAGAGGCTGCCAACTAATCCACTTTTGTCACTTACTGATCCATACCTTCATTGTCAAACAACCACACAACATATACATCACACACAAACTCAAACAAAATTCACACATGATATGGCCCAATGTAGCCCCACACTGTCTTCCATCATATCCCACCACCAAGCACCAACCCTCATGTAACTGGATTCAAGGAAATTCAAACAATTTACACACACTACAAGTAAGGTGTGATGATGTTTCTTAATACCATACCAGCAGTGTGTGTATCACGCTGTGCCAGGGTGAACCTGGAGGCTGATTAATTTGACTCTCAGTGATGATGCTATACATGTGTTGTTTTCCATCATGCATGGAGGATGATTTGAATTTCAGATAATAATATAAAGAAAAATTGGATCAGATTTCGAGATGAACTATTTATCACACATCCCTGTGGATGGTTATCAAAAATAGTGTTGCCAATACAAAGAAAAAAATAGCATTTAAGTCAAGAAATGGCATATTGTCAGAGCTCCTTGAAACTCGAGTTTTGCATGTTTGATATCTCTGTGCTAAATACACGCCAATAAAAACAAACAGCCTGTAATACAAATGCCTCGGAGCATTGAAAATGTGCGCACTAGTACCAGAAATGTGCAGGTTGACTGTTGTAGTAACTCACACACATGACAGCTTAACTGATTGTCCATGGCAAAATTTAATATATCGAAAGTACTTGAAATTAAAATATGTAAAACAGGGTGGTAATTATAAAAGAAATAATTTTCCCAATCAAACCCATTAATTTTTTAATATAATAAATACCTCATATATATAGGATAGTGCTGTGTGATTTTGAGTTTTAAAAAAATCATCGAAGCTTCGAAGCGCGACATTTGCTCGGATGTGTATGTATTGTCTTTTGGAGGGCTTCTTTAAATTGAATGTCTTAAAATCCTCTCAAACAATAGCCAAACTATACTTGGAGTGTGTTTGGTTTGGTACAATTTGATCAAATTTAACTGCACAGATTTAATATAAAAGTAAAGACTTCAAGCAATAAATGGTTAAAAGGTTCAAGAGAATTCTGTTGGCAGCATAAAAGGCCTAATAATAACGCTAAAAATTATGCATAAATAATTCTGAACAAATAGAACAGAAACGGAATGCAAATTTGTAGTCTCAAGGACCTCTATGCAATCTCTAAAATTACACAACAGTGCAGTGAACAAAGAACCGGCCTCAAAAGGACAAAAGCAAAGGAACAAAATGTACTCCAAAAATCTACAATGAAGCCATGAAGTAAGAGAGAGCACAGACAATGGAATAGGGATTGAGATAAAGGGCAATGTGAGTGTAACATCAAGAATGTGCATTTTTAGCCTAGCCAGCACGGTTTATAATATGTACTCTTAATCTCTCATTTCATTTGTCCCCGCCTGCCATCCCCCCATCGCGCCTAGGCCTACCTACAAACTGTATACCTTTTAGATGATCTCCCCACAAGTAGGCTATAGTGGCTGGCTGATTTTTTTTTTTTTTTTTTTTTTTGTGGTTAAAACACGACTGTCTCTAATCATGCACGATACACCGCGATGCGATGACATCACATCACAACATTTATAACCTTGTGCTTCGAATGTCGAGTCGCATCAAACTGTACTAGGAGAGCTAAGTAAGTCTGTCGGCCTACAATAAAAAAAACAAAAACCAACCAACATTCGCTGCGCTTCAAAGCGACGGTGGGTACTCATTATAAGCCTTACACCCTTTGAATCACATTGTCAAAGGGGAGTTAAATATGCCCAAAAAAGTATACAAAAAACCATTCGCTGCGGTGGTGGGTACCCATTTCGCCTCAGTATGCAATGTACACAAAATATCCGGCAGCGCTTCGAAGCGATGGTCTATTGAGTTATTAATGGCATCAGAAATGCCTTTTACTTTTAGAGGCATGTTTTACAACTCCTACTGGCTCATCTTATCACTCTGTCCCGTAATCATCAACTTGAACGTAACGTTGAATTTACCTCAGTGAATTTAGATATTTTATTATGCTTTAATTTTACTACCGGTTGAGAAAAATTAGAAGAAATCCGTTATGGAAAAAACTCACACACGCTTCGAATGGCTGTGAATAGAGCAAAAATCATAAATGTCCAATAGTGAAATCGAATGGGCACAGCTCTAATATATATGACTACTTCTCCATGTAGCCACCAGAACTATTGAGGCATTTGTCGTAGCGTGGGACGAGCTTCTGAATGCCCTCATCGTAGAAAGTTGCCGCCTGCGATGTCAGCCAATGTCGAGTCTCTCCTGTGAGATCAGCGTCTGAGTCGAAGACCTGCACAGCCAAAAACTTTTTCAAATGCAGGAACAGATGAAAGTGACTCGGAGCCAGGTCTGGGCTGTACGATGGGACCCTCAACTGTTCCCATCCGAAGGAGGCGATCAGGTTTTGGGTCTGTGCAGACTTGTGAAGAGTTGCATTGTCGTGAAGCAAAACAATGCTGTCGCTAAGCATTCCGCATCTTTTGTTTTGAATCGCTCTACGCAGTTTTTTACGTGTGTTGCAGTACACATCAGAGTTAACTGTCATCCCATTTCCCAAAAATTCTACTAAAATAACTGATCCTTGCCTGTCCAGCGCGAGCACACCTTTCGATACCCAAATGGTCAGTGACGATTTCATGCAGAAAAGCGACCTTGAAATCTTACGAAAGTTTGAAGAGGGTGAAGAAAGGGTAAAACGCCTGTCTTCCTTTACCTTAATGTCAACTTTTTCTATCAAATCATCACTGACCAAAGATGGACGCCCACTCCTGGGTTCATCATGCACATTTTTTCGTCCCTCTTTGAACATGCGAACCTATTTCCGCACCATGCTTTCGCCCATTGCATTTTCACCATACACTTCAGTATTCAGAAATCTGTCTCTATGAACGTCGCTAAATGCTTCGTGTTCTTTTCCAGTCAGAAAACGAATAAATAACGGACCGAATTTCACTGTCAGCATAATTTTCAATCTTGAAAGACATCATGCAGAAGCTTCAAAAGGGTGTAGGATGTTCGATACAATGTGGTGCGTAAACTGGCAGGGAAAAAAACTGAGAGAGGTGTTTTACAAGCTTTGTAGATTGTTGTTTACAATGGCAAGATCATGGAAGCTGAGGGCTCTTTCCAGTTCAGTATTGAATACATCAACTCACTGTGGTGCACAATCGGGAATATCCTAACCCAGTTCAGAGAGATGTGAAAACGGTACAAGTTTACTTTCTGGATGTCCCTCGTAGATCTAGATTTCTAGAAATCTAGTATAGATCTACATCTAGATTAGCCAGAATGAGTTAGCCAGTTTCTAAATGAAATAAAATCAGACAGACTACTGGTATAGATCTACTTCTACCTGTCCTGTGGTGCGTGGTGGTCCTCCTGCTTTCAGGTTGTGAACCCTAGATCCTGTTACTTTGTTATATTATTATAGAATCTAATCTAGATTCTAGGGCAATTGTTTACTTTCTTGCGTTTAATTCTGGCCGCGCCTAGATCTAGATCCAGACGAAACTCTACTACGCATCCTCGACTGGATATTCAAAGGAAGTCGCTATTCTCACCCGGGGTGAGAATAGAAATACGATCTACCTCTCACCCCGGGTGAGACTTGCCAGCGTAGACTATTCTCAC